TGAATACCATGGTGGGGGTCCGCAGTTGCTGCCTGACCTGTGCCCCTGGCCTCCCACCCATCGATTGCAATGGCAGGGGTCCGGGGTTGTGGCCTGGGTTGCGCTCTGGCCCTCCCGTGCTTGATTGCCATGGTGGCGGTCTGGGGTTGATGCATGGCCTGTGCCCCGGCACTCCCACACTTCGATTGCTATGGTGAGGGTCCGGTGTTGATGCATGGCCTCTGCTTTGGACCTCCCGCCCTCCAATGTCCATGGTGGGGATCCAGGGTTGCTGCCTGGCTTGGTCTCCGGCCCTCCCTTTCTTGATTGCCATTGTGGGGGTCCAGGGAAGCTGCCTGTCCTGTGCCCCTGACATCCCGCACTTTGATTGCCATGGTGGGTGTCCGCAGTTGCTGCCTGGCCTCACCCCGGCCTTCCTGAACTTCAATTGCCATGGTGGATGTCCTGGGTTTATGCATGGCCTGCGCTCTGGCCCTCCCCCCTCCTATTGACATGGCGATTGCCGGAAGAACGCCAGCCAGCCACCCCGGCACCGGGGGTCCGCAGTGGCAGACCATGGCGATCGAGGGACGCAGGCCCTCCCGTCCTTACATTGCCAAGGTAGGTGTCCAGTATTGATGCCTGGGCTGCGCTTCGGGCAGCCCGCCGTCCCATCGCCATGACGGGGTTCTGGGGTTGTGGCTTGGCCTGTGCTCAGGCCCTCCCATCCTCCAATCAACATGGTGGGGGTCCAGGATTGATTCCTGGATTATGCTCTGACCCTCCCGCCCTTCAGTGGCCATGGTGGTGATCTGTGGTTGCTGCCTGTCCTGCGCTCTGTCCCTCCCACCCTCTGATTGACATAGCGATCGCCGGAAGCAGAGTCATCCAGCAAACCCAGGATCCGGTGGTTCGCGGTTGTTGACTGCCATGCAACACACCCTCCCTTTCTCCGAGTGCCATGGGGATCCGGGGATGGAGACAATCCCCCACTAAGATTGCAATGGTGGATGTCCGTGGGTGCTGCCAGGCATGCAGCCCGGCCCTCCAGTCCTTTAATTGCCATTTTGGGGGGTCGGGGTTGATGCATGCCATGCGCTGTGGCCCTCACACCCTCCAATGGCCATGGAGGGGTTCTGGGGTTTCTTCTTGGCCTGTGCTCCGGCCCTCCCACCTACGTTCGCCATGGTGGGAGTCCGGGGTTGCTGCCTGGTCTGCGCTCCAGCCCTCCTGCCTAAGATCGCCATGGTGGGCATCCTGGGTCGCTCCTTGGCCTGTGCTCTGGCCCTCCCGCCCTCAATTGCCATGCTAGGGGTTCAGGGTTTCAGTCTGTCCTGGGCCCGGGACCTCCCACCCTTTGATTGCCATGACGGGGTTCAGGAATTGCGGGCTTGGTTGCACTCCTTCCCTCCAGCCCTCGATTGCCATGGTGGGAGTCCGGGGTGCTGCCTGGCTTGCGCTCTGGCTCACCTGCCCTCCCAATGTCATGGTGGGGGCCAGTGATCCTGCCTGGCCGCATCCTGGCGTCCCGCCCTCCGGTCGCTATGGCGATTGCCGGAAGCAGGCCAGCCAGCAACCCCGGAACCCAGGGTTCCGCAATCCCAGAACACTGGGTTCCGCGGTTGCTGCCTGGCCTGCAACACCGCCCTTCTGATCTCCGATTGCCATGGTGATCGAGGGACCCAGGCCATCCCGCCCTTCGATTGCCATGGCGGGGTCCAGGGTTGTGGCCTGGGTTGAGCTCCGGACTGCCATCCTCGATAGCCATGGTGGGGGTCCAGTGTTGCTTCCCGGCCTGTGCCCCAGCTCTCCGCTGCCTGGCCTGTGGCCCAGCCCTCCCGTCCTTTGTGTGCCATGGTGGGGGTCTGCAGTTGCTGCCTGGACTGTGCCCCAATCCCGCCCTTCGATTGCCATGGCAGGGGTCTGGGGTTGTTGCCTGGGTTGCGCTCCTGACATCCCGTCCTCGATAGCAATGGTGGGGGCCAGGGTTGCTGCCTGGCCTGTGGCCCAGCCCTCCCGTCCTTTGTGTGCCATGGTGGGGGTCTGCAGTTGCTGCCTGGACTGTGCCCCAGCCCTCCAGCCCATCGAACGCCATGGTGCGGGTCCGGGGTTCATGCGTGGGCTGCGCCCTGTCCCTCCCGCCCTTCGATTGCCATGGTGGGGGTTCACTGTGCTGCCTGACCTATGCCCCGTCCCTCAGGCCCAGCGATTGCCATGGTGGGGTCCAGGGTTGATGCCTGTGCTGTGCTCCAGCCAGCCCGCCTTCTGATCGCCATGGTGGGTTTCCAGGGTTGCTGCCAGGCTTGCCTTCCGGCCACCCGCCCTTCCATCGCCATGGCGGGTATCCTGGGTTACTGCCTGGCCTGTGCTCTGGCCTTCACGCCCTCCAATCACCATGTCTATCGCTGGAAGCATTCCAGCCAGCATCCCCGGCCCCAATGGACCTGTGGTTGCTGCCTGGCCTGCAACACAGACCACACGCCCTCCGATCACCATGGCGATCAAGGGACGCAGGCCATCCTTCCCTTCAATTGCCATGTCGGGGGTCCAGGGTTGCGGCCTGGCTTATGCCCAGGCCCTCCATCCATTTGATTGCCATGGTGGGAGTCCGCAGTTGCTGCCTGACTTGCACCGCGGCCCTCCCGCCCTTCGATTGCCATGGTGGGGATCCGGGGTTCATTCATGGCATGCCTTCTGGCCCTCCCACCATCCAATGTCCATGTCGGGGGTCCAGGGTTGATGCCTTGGCTGTGCTCTGGCCAGCACGCCCTCTCATCACCATGAAGTGCGTCCAGGGTTGTGGCCTGGCTTGCACCCGGGCCCTCCAGTTGTTCGATTACCGTGGTGGCGTCTGCGGTTACTCCCTGTCCTGTGCTCTCGCCATTCCGCCCTCAATTGCCATGCTGGAGGTATGGGTTTGCTGCCTGGCCTCCGCTCTGGCCCTCCCGCCCTCCGATCGCCATGGCGATAACCGGTACCAGACCAGCCAGCAACCCCGGCACTCGGGGGTCTCCAGTTGCTACCTCACCTGCAACACCACACTCCCGCCCTCTGATCACCATCGCAATTGAAGGATGCGGGACATTCCGCCCTTTGATTGCCTGTTGGGGTCCAGGGTTGCTTCCTGGCCTGAGTTCTGGCCCTCCCGCCCTTGATTGCTATGGTGGGGATCCAGGTTTGCTGACTGGCCTCCACCCCGGCTATCCTGCCCTTCGATTGCCATGCCGATCAAGGGATGCAGGCCATCCTGCCATTCAAATGCCAGGTTGGGGATCCGTGGTGCTACCTGGCCTGCAACACCCACCTCCGATCGCCATGGTAGTCAAGGGAGACAGGCCCTCCCGCCTTTCAATTCCCATGGTGGGGGTCGGGTGTTGATGCCTGGCCTGCGTTCTGGCCCTGCTGCCCTCGATTGCCATGGTGGGGTCTGGGATTGCTGCCTGGCCACCCCGACTCTCCCTCCCTTCGATTGTAATGGCTATCAAGGGAAGCAGGCAATCCCACTCTTTGATTTCCATGTTGGGGGTCCGGGGTTGCATCCTGGCCTGCGCCCAGCCCTCCCACCCTGTGTTGCCATGGTGGGTGTCCGTGGAGGCTGTCTGACCTGCACCCTGGCCCTCCTGCCTCCAATCACCATGGTAGTGGTCCGGGGTTGATGCCTGGGTTGAGCTCCAGCCCTCCCGCCATTTGATGGCCATGGTGAGGGTCCGAGATTGAATCATGGCATGCGCTCTGGCCCTCCCACCTTCCAATGACCATGGCGGGGGTCTGGGGTTGCTCCCTGGCCTGTGCTCTGGCCATTCCACCCTCAATCACCCTGCTGGGGGTCCAGGGTTGTTGCTTGGCTTGCGCTCTAGCCCTCCTGCCCTCTGATCACCATGGCGATCGCTGGAAGCAAGCCAGCCAACAACTCCGGCACCGGGGGGTCCGCGGTTGTTGCCTGGCCTGCACAACTGCACTCCCGCCCTCCAATCACCATGGCGATTGAGGGATGCAGGCCATCCTGCCATTCGATTGCCATGTTGGGGGTCCGCGGTTGCTGCCTGGCATGCAACACCCACCTCCGATTGCCATGGTGATCAAGGGAGTAAGGCCCTCCTGCCTTTCGGTTCCCATGGTGGGCGTTGGGTGTTGATGCCTGGCCTGCGTTCTGGCCCTGTCACCCTCGATTGCCATGGCGGCGGTCTGGAGTCGCTGCCTGTCCTGCGCCACGGCCCTCCAGCCCTTGATCGCCATGGTGGGGATCCGGGGTTGCTGCCAGGCCTCTGCCCCAGCTCTCCTCCCCTTCGATTGCCATGGCCATTAAGGGATCTAGGCCATCCCGTCCTTCGATTGCCATGTTGAGGGTCCTCGGTTGCTGCATGGCCTACACCGCCCTCTGATCGCGATGGCGATCAAGAGGACAGGACCTTGCGCCCTTCAGTTGCCATGGTGGGGGTCAGGAGTTGATGCCCAGCCTTCGCTCTGGCCCTACCGCCCTTGATTGCCATGGCAGGTGTCCAGGGTTGCTGCCTGTCTTGTGCCCAGGCCCTCCAGCCCTTCGATTGCCATGGTGGTGGTCCGCGGTTACTGCCTGCGGTGACCCGCACCTCGGAGAGGGTCCGACGCGTAGAGGTGGAGTGGGATGAAAGACCAAGAGACAGGGTTCGGAGGACTGGCACAAGGCACCAGCAACTTTATTCTTTACACACACTGCTTTATAGCTAAGCTGTGACTGGTCATGCTTCATAGGTCACCGCTAGGGCCTGGCCTGACATAGGGAAGTAACAGATTGTTACAAGCTGGGCAAGACTGGGCAAGCTTTGCCTAGATCCATCTATGTTTGACAGTTACTACAATAATACTTTTAGCTACAGAGGTCGTGCCTCGGTCAAGCCTTGTCTAGTTCCGCTTTGCTGCAAACTCTAATTAAGCCTTAAACCTTTCCTGAACTTTGACCTTAAAACCTTCCAGTCGACATAGAGCTTTGACCTTAAAACCTTCCAGGATCGACATAGGATAGAGTCCAGGACATAGGTCAGCTTAGACTTTGCCAGCATCATGACGGTCCCCACCATTTCCCCCTTCTTTGTTTTTTAGTCGAAGCTCATGGATGGAGGTCTGGATAGCTCACAAGCTGGCTCCGAGGATTCGGACGCCGACTGGCAAGAAAGAAAGAATAATTAATATCACACCAATTGTCATTGCAGCACTCCATAGTATAGAAAAACCATAAAAATGAGAAAACCACCCTTTGAGGGTGTCAAATATTTGCTTGGCTACCTCTGAGGATGGAAGCAAAGGAGACTCAGAAATAGATATAGCCATAATTTCTTCATGTAATTTCCTCAATGTCTAAGGACATATTAGTATGTTGCCAAATTCCCATCAAGTGCATGCGGACTTGCTCCCAAGACCAAGCTGATATATTGTAATGCCTGGGAGTCACACAAATGTTGTCAAACTCGGCATGACACGAGAGGCTAGACCTGATCTTCAGGGCTTCTAACTGATATCCTAGAAGGAGAATGGTCTGTTCTAGGACAAAATGAAGCCATTCAAGGGGACCATCCTGCCAAAAAAGGCCTGTTGGTAAGAAGGGAGTAGAGAGAATTAAATAGCTCCAAGTTTTGTTATAATCTATTCTTTCAAGAAATTGAGTGGCAATCATGTCCTCTACTCGTTGCAGAGCAGTCTTTGCTTCAGGAGTTAATTCTCGAGGAGAAGTTGGATCTGGATCCCCTTTTAGAATCTCAAAGAGGGGTTTAATTTCTCCTGTTGTTAATCTTAAAGAAGGTCGGATCCAGTTAATATCTCCTAGGAGTTTTTGCCAATCATTTAAAGTCTGCAAATGCTCTGTTCTAATAGAAGTTTTTTGTCTTCTGATTTTCTGGCCATTAATTATTTGTCCTACTGGTAGGGTGATTTTGATTGAACCTTTCCTTCCGCTATTTTAAGACCTTGATTTTCAAGCCATTGCTGAGCATGCTTGAATACTTTAGCTAATAACTCAGGACTAGAGGCTGCAAATAAAATGTCATCCATGTAATGTATTATATAAGCTTCTGGGAAGTTTTCTCTGGTCTCAGCTAATCCTTCTGCTACAAATTTTTGACATAAGGTAGGACTATTAGCCATGCCCTGTGGCAAGACTATCCAATGGTATCTCTTCATAGGCTCTGTTAAATTAACAGATGGAACAGAGAAAGCAAAACGTTGACAATCTTGTGGAGCCAATGCAATAGTATAAAAGCAATCTTTGAGATCAATAATTAATAAGCAATAATCACAAAGACATTTCATTGTCTGTCAAATACTTTCTGACCTCTAAAGCACTGTGGTTTAATAGTTAATTATTGTTACTTATGGATCCCCAAAGTAAAAATGTTTGTAAGGCTGAAATATATCTTTTATATCTTAGTGAAAATATAGATTTAAATGAATGGTAATGTGTCCCCCGCCCAAAATAGAGGTAGGTGATATATTCTCTGTGGCTGAAAATTAGAAGAGGA